TTTTTCGTAATAATAAATGCTAGGTTTAATGCCTCCAAAGGACTTTAATCCTTTTTGATAGACTGTGTTTTAAACCTATTGATATTTTAGTTTGGGCACTTTGTTTACTTTCTAAAGTTTGATCAAGTTCATAAACTTAACCAGCTGGGTTGGCCATGAAGGAGGTCATTTTACTATGTCTGAAAGTTGTAGGTTAAAGTCAGACACAGGCTATATATATAATTATTTTATTGGGGGCTCGTACAACTCTTAGCACAATCCATATATACATTCATTGTGCCAAGCACATTTGTACATTTGCTGCCCTCATCATTCTCAAAACACAGGCTTTATTTTTATGAAGTAAAATCAAGAACTATACATACCACATTCTGATTGTAAGTTGCAAGATCCAAGTACGCTGGAGGCAGTACAACTAGAAATGTGGGTTTTATAGTGCTTGGTTGGAAACAGGAATGTTTGTTATTTAAATGAGTTAATTGAAGTGACTAAAGGGGATATTGATAGGTTGGTCATAAGATAATATTTTTTAAACATTTTCTGAAGGCTGCTGAGAGAATTTCTGAGAAATGTCTTATATCAACATTCTTTCCACATCTCTAGTTTTCACCAGAGAAGTTTTTTATTACTGTAAATACTCGAGTATAAACAGACCCAAATATCAGCCGACGTACCTAATTTTACCACAAAACTGCATAAAAAATGTACTGAAAAACTCGACTTATACATGAGTATATAGTATTTATTGAGCCATGGCGGCTTAGTAGGTTATGCATAGGGCTATTAGTACAAGGTTAGTATTTAGAAGTCACCAATTACTCTTTGGGGAGAAAGATAAGAGGTTTTCTACTCCCATAAAAGAGTTGATCAGTCTCAGAAACTCAGAGGCAGTTTTACCCTGTCCTATCGGGTTGCTATGAGTTGGAATCAACTTCATGACAGTGAGGTTTTTTAAATTTTATTTTGTTTTGTTAATGTCTTTTTAAGGGTTTGAGGATTGCAGCTCAAATATGTGAAAGCTAAGATTGAGTCAGGACTCAGACCCGGGCTGATCATTCTCGATTTCTGAACTCATATATCTTTAATGTCCACTTAAATGCGGCCCCCCATCTTTTCTTTTGTTTTCTTTTAATCATTTTATTGGGGGCTCGTGCAACTCTTATCACAATACGTACATCCATCCATTATGTCTCGCACATTTGTACATTTGTTGCTCTCATCATTCTCAGAACAATTTCTTTCTCTTTGAGCCCTTGGTATCAGTTCCTCATTTTTCCCTCCCTTCCTACCCACCTCCCTCACGAACTCTTGATAATTTATAAATTATTATTATTTTGTAATATCTTACACTGTCCAACTTCTCCCTTCACCCACTTTTCTGTTGTCAGTCCCCCAGGGAGGGGGTTATTTGTAGATCCTTGTGATCGATTTCCCCTTTATTCCCACCTTCCCCTTCCCCTCCTGGTATCACTACTCTCATTATTGGTCCTGAGGGGTTTATCGGTCCTGGATTCCCTGTGTTTTGAATTCTTATCTGTACCAGTGTACATTATGTGGTTTAGTCGGATTTGTAAGGTAGAATTGCGATCATGATAGTGGGTGGGGATGAAGCATTAAGGAACTAGAGGAAAGTTGTATGTTTCATCATCACTTACATGCTTTTCTTAAGACCCTGAAACCATGATCACAAATCTTTAAACCAAGAATATAAATCCTGGGAAGTGTTTGGCTATATATAAGAAGCGTTTTACACGTTGATTGTTGGTAAAACAATGTAACCCATGAGTTGCCCCTTCAATTTTAGATGTATAGCTTAGTGAAATAAAAAGAAACACTAAAAATCAAAGCAGAAATCAACCTAATTGCAGATAATGGAGAAAAGTCAACAAAGCCGAAAGGTAATTCTTTTGTATTTAGCACTTTAAGCCATGCTATCTTGATGTAAATCACTAATGTTAGCAGTGAGAAAAATGAGCTCTCATTACTGATTCCATGGATATGAAATGGATAATAAAGGAATATTATGAACAATTTTATGCCCATAAATTTAGTAATTTAGATGGAATTGACCAGTTCTTGGACGATACAATCTACCAGAATTTAAAAACAAAAACTAGCTGTCATCAAGTTGATTCTGACTCAGTAGCAACATTATAGGACAGAGCAGAACTGCCCCTGTGGGTTTCCTAGACTGATTCTTTTTTCTTTCTTCCAATTAATCATTTTATTGGGAGCTCTTAAGGATAATTATAACATTCCATAATTCAGTTAGATCAAGCATAATTGTACAGTTGTTACCACAATCAGTTTCTAAACATTTCCCTTTTTCTTGAACTTTTTGGTATCAGCTCCTAGACCAATTCGTTATGGGGGTGTAAAGCCTCAGTTTTCTCCCACAGAGCAGCTGGTAGTTTCAAATTGCTGACCTTGCAGTTAGCAGCCCAACTTGTAATCCACTGCATTACACCACCAGGGCTCCTAAAATTTACAAAAGGAGAAACATAAAAAGAAGAGAATCTGAAAAGAAATTAAATCAATAATCAGTAACCTTTTGTGTTGTTTTAATTAGTATTCTATATTTCTAGCTTCTGATATCCACTGCAGTGGCTGCACAGCACTCGTTCATGTTTAAAGGGTTTCTTAAGGAAGTTGACAGGTTGTAATGCAAGTGAGAAATGCTCAGGAGATAGAGTTGTTTATCGGCACATGTCACAAAGTTTTTTCAGGTCTGCTAATAAATACCTAAAGGGACACACCATTCCACTGTAAGCCTGTAAGCCTAAGCCTTACTCCACAAGCTAGCCTCCTGCACAAAAAGCACTCAGTTTTACTTGCTCCATGGGCTGGGAATTCCATCACTGTTCCATGCTCTTGCTCCTGGTTCTCCTGCTTTTCCTCTGATGTTATAGATATCTTCTGAATTCAAGAGGTTAACTGTACAGGGATTTCAGGTCCAGCAGATGCATTCCACTCCTGGCTCTTGCTGGTAACGAGATTCCCTCCCCCTGCTTCTCAGAAGGGCTCATTTTATACTTGCAGGATGACTGTCCAGGGAATCTTGTTTACAGTTACTCACAGGCGAATCCTATCAATATCTTCCCCCACCTTCTTAGTGGGAGTTAGAGACTGGCTAGAAAAGCCACATTAAACAAGCCACCATTCCTTCATCTTTCAAAGCAGAAATACCACGTCCAGATGGTTTCTGATGCTTGGTAAATTCTTCCAAGCATTTAAGAAAGAAGTAATACGAATTCCTTTACAATCTTATCTAGAAAAAAGAAGCAGAGGAGATACTTCCTAACTCATTCTGAGCTAAGCTTTACCCTGATAACCCAAACTAGACAAACATTACACGAGAGAAAAACTACAGACCAAATCTCTCATGAGTCTAGATGTAATGCCCTTCTAGTGAATGGATAAACAGAATGTGTTGTACACATACAATGGAATATCATTTCACCATAATTGAAAACGAAATTTTAATACATGCTGACATGGGTGATCTTAAAAATTATTATACAATATCTAGGGTTTGGGGGCTGTAGCTCTTTAGGAACAACAGATCTCCAGGCCTTTGTCTGGGCACCACTAGGTGGGTTTGAAATGGCAGTGTTAGCCAGAGTGAGCAATATACTGCCCTTGGAGGAGTCCTGGAACAATCCAGGGGACTGCAAAAGCAGATGCCTACACTTTATCCTGGGTTATGTTTTCTTCTGTTTTAGGGACAGCCATGTGCCTAATAATTTGAATTCTCTGATGGATATAAGAAAAATGAGTGAGTTTTAATCGTTCAGCTTTTTTCCTCTAAGAGCAGAATTGACACTTTTCAAGCTGTTTAGATGTTAATCCACAATTCTGAGATCATTCTGAAGGACGAATTCTTTTCTATCATGCTCTTAAAAATAAAAACGTAATTTAAGCATTGTGTATTTTTTTGTTTTAATATGTTTGATACAAAATTTATAGCATAATTATAGCATTGATTTGTTCAAGCACATAGGTTTCTTGTTAACTTAAAATTTCTAGGATAATAAATTATTTTAAGTTACTAATCAAAAGAGGTAAATCTTAATTTAATTCCAGTACCAGAATGTTGAAAACATTGTATAATCCTTCTTTTTTTTTCTCTCTCTCTTATAGGAAAAGTTAGAAGTTTAAGTTCATCTTTGTGGTCACTAACTCACTTGACGGCTTTGCATCTGAGTGACAACTCCCTGTCCCGCATTCCTTCAGACATTGCCAAGCTTCACAATCTGGTGTATCTGGACCTGTCCTCTAATAAAATTCGTAGTTTACCCGCAGAACTCGGAAACATGGTATCACTCAGGTATGCAAATGCAACTTAGAACATAACTATGTTGTCGTTAAATGTCATCGATTGAGTTGAGTTGGTTCCAACCCATAGTGACCTTATGCACAACAGAATGAAACACATCTTCACAAGCGTTCCATGCCGAGACCACCATTGCAGCCACTGTAAGTCCATCTCACTTTCTGCTGCTACTCTACTTTATCAAGCGTGGTGTCCTGTCAGCACCGGACTCTCCTGACAACATGTTCAGAGTGTTTAAGATGAAGTCTTCCCATCCTTGCCTCTAAGGAGCACTCTTGCAACTATAACCCCCCCTAAACAAAATAGATCATTAGGTTGTTTTTTGTTTTTAACAGTTTTATTAACATAAGTTCACATCATACACTTCGATAGTTCAATCAGAGAGCTATGCAGTCATCACCCCAATCAATTTTAGAACATATTCTTGTACTTATTGTTACTAGTTCCCATTTCCCCCCAAGCCTCCACTGCCACACCCTTAAGAGCTTATCAATCCAACTATCTTTATAGATTTACACATCTGTATTTCACTTAAGAAAAACTTAAGAGGAAAAAAAAAAAGAAAAACTTAGAAAGCAAAATGAAAAACCCGATAACAAAATAAAATCTAGAAAAACCTCAATCAAAAAGAAGCCAAGTATGTTTAAAACTACAACATATTTCAAATGCGTCAGGTGGGAGATCAAACGTTAAATTTAAATTTATGCCTGCCACAATCCACTTTCCAGTGTACTCTATCTGATAGCAAGGATGTTCATGTCCCTAGTCTGGTCAGAGGAGATTCACTGGAGGCTTCATCCTTGTGGGAACTCTGCAAATAGATTTTGGGCTTTCACTACCATCCATAGCTTTCTGCAAACTGGGTACTCAGAACTTAAGCTCCAATTCCACTCTGTTCTTCAGTATTTGACTTTATTATTTATAATCCTTAGATCACACTGGCTGGTATACTCCTTTCATGTGGATTTAGCTGTCACCTCACTTGGGTGGCTCCTTGCTTTAAAATAAGCCTTTAACCCCCTAGACTATTCTTTCTGATAGCCAGGCACCATGTGATCTCTCATGAAGACAAGTATCAATTAGGACCCATGTCACAAGAACTAATTGTTTTTAGATTAAGGCTACAATTCATTGGAGTCCTGGTGGCACAGTGCTGAGGTGTTGGGCTGTGAACCGAAAAGTCAGCAGTTCAAAACCACCAACCGCTCTCTGGGGAAAGATGAGCCTTTCTACTCCCATAAAGTGTTACAGTCACAGAAACCCACAGGAGCAGATTATCATCCTCTCCTATAGCATCACCATGAGTTGTAATCGATTGATGGCAGTGAGTTTGTTTTTTAAAGGGCTACAATTAAGTGGGATCTCAAAATCCACTCACATATATTTTATATATGTCCCTTGTTCACTTTAGAAATAACGTTTTCCTTTTATTGGGGAACATTATAAGTTATTTCTATTGGTAGTATCTTTAATTTAGCTAGTGGTATAGAATTTAAAAGATTTGTTTAGAAAAGGAACGTATACATTTATAGAGCAGCTTTGGGGGCCAAAGTACATGGATTGTTGACTTGTATAGATTAAAATCTTAAGTGATTGGACACTATTTGCACAAACAGTGAGGGTTGGAGATAAGGTAAAACTTCCAATAGCACTCATTCACAAAGGGCCAATCCTGCTTGCTAGCTTAAGACATGTAAAAAAACAAAGAGAACAGAACATGAAAATAGCAATCATTCAGAAGTCCTGAGCCAACAGTTATTGAGCACTGTTGTGAAAAACTATCACTTTAGTAGTATTGGAACAGTATATACCTTTTATGTAAAAGTTGCTAGAAAATTGTCAGCTAAAAAATGTTCAAGTAGATCCATTGTCTGAAATTTTTATTGTTGTTTTATGTAATATACTTTATTCTTGAACTAAAATTTTGAGATCAGATGAGAAAAACAGATCGAAGGAACTTACGTGCATTACCCCCCACACACACACACACACACACACACACACACACACACGCGCACTTACCTGACAGACATTCTTCACCATTGTGGTGCTTTTCCAAGAAGCCGTGAAGTCTTTTGGCTGTCTCAACGCTCACATGTACGATATTATTAAAGCCTAGACTTGAAAGCAGGTAGGATTACTTATAGGACACAGTATGGGATTTGGAATTTTGATAGAGCCATTTACATATTGTGTGTTCTTAGACAAACTTCTTAACCCCATTGAGCCTGTTGGTACATCTGGAAAGCTGCTGCAATACCTCCCCGGCAAGGCTGAGTTGAGGAGTATTTGAGATGATAGGTAATAAGCTATTAACACCTGCCTAGAGCATATTGGTATTTAATAAATATTAGTTGCTATTTTCTGTTAGATATTCTGTTGTATAAGGTGGATGAGTTGCCATAAAGCTGAATAGAAATCCAAAATCCAGCTAGTATGCTGATCCCAATGGAAAACCTTATCCTAATTCATATTACCTGCCTTTTCTGATTTGTTCCACTGGCTGCTCTACTGCCTTCTACCAAGTGCTACTAGAATAAAAGAATAAGAAACCTTCTTGAAAGTTTCTTTGCCTCTGTTACTCCCTTTAACTTTTTCCAAGACTCGGCGAGTATATACTACCAATAATTTTAATCCCTGGCACCAAATTTACTTAAAAGGTCTTCTTTCCCATATAATATAGTTCAAAATAAACAGGGATCAATTATTCAGAGCCATTTTTTCCATGTGTTTGATTTATGGTGCAGAAGTAGCAGGTTCATTAAAATTTTAAGAATGGAAAATTATAAAAATAATTCCCCTTCACACTTAAAAATGGAAGTAGTAGAAAATACAACTGTTGCAATGTTGGATGTCCTGATCTCCCTTTCCCTCTTCCTTTCTCCCCTAATCCCACAGGCACACAAATTCTTTTGATACTTACATTATTTGCAAAACAGTACAGTAATCATAAGTAGTTAAAATGACTGATGTCGTTTCTAAAATGCAACTTGAATACATTTGGAGAAATATTAATTGTAAACTTAATTGTGCCACTGTCACAAGCTACATTGAGTTGGTATTACAGGATTATTTGAGTTCTCCCTAAACAATTCACATGCTAGGATGTTTTCCCTTTCTCACTTTCTGAAACCTGAGTAGTAGATCCCAATGGAGCTAGACCACTAAAGTTATGAGGTGGTCTGTACGTCAGCACTGACTTGAAAATTGTGCCACCAGTGAGTTAGATGTAACAGTTGAGATGGCTTGTACACCCATGGAATCTAGCAACTTTACAGTGAGGGCTTATATTTTATATCAGGAGAAAGAGGAGGCTTTCTACTCTCACAAAGAATAATAGTCTTAGAAGCCCAACGGCACTTCTACCCTGCTTATAGGGTTGCTAGGTGTTGGTGAACTAGGTAGCAATGAGTTTTGAGTTTATATTTTGTATATCTTTTTTCTTGTTTCATTTTTCTAGTAATTTTCCCCCCTGTATTTAACTAAAATATTCATCTGTAGCCGTTTGATTTTCTTCTTTTTACCACATATAATTTGAAACCACTGACTAGAAAATGAATATGAAATTTTGTCATACTTGAGCTTATATTCCCAGAAATGATACTGTGTATTTTGTTTGTTAGTTAAAAGTTACTATGTCTTCTGACTGGAATTTTTACTTCAACAACAGGGAACTCCATTTAAATAACAACCTGTTACGAGTTCTACCATTTGAGCTGGGAAAACTGTTTCAGTTGCAGACTTTAGGCCTGAAAGGTATGACTTTCTTGTTCGCTTACTGACTTGCATGTGTCTTTGTATCTAAAGAAGCAGTGAGAGAGAAACATTTTATCAGGATTTGCAGGATCACTTTCTGCCAGAAGAAGCCAGCTCCTAGCACAATCACTACGGGTTTGGTAGTCGTAATTGTACAGCGATAATAAGTAAATATTATAGTAAAGTTATAGAGAGCATGAGAGATAAAAGAGATATATAGAAATAAATGGAGTCAGACACATTTTATGGTAGCATGCTCACCTCAGCCTCGCTTGGTGGTCCACGTGGAGGGAGTGAGAGCGAACTTTAATGCTCCCCAAGCTTTTATACTCTCTGGGGACATTGGGGACGTGCAGGCCACCACATTACAGGTGAAGACATACATCACAGGAAAGGGTTGTGCTACAGGTATTCCTGTGGATGGGAGGGGGTGATCTAGGGACATATGCACTACAGAAGGAGGAGGGATTGGGGGTGTACATGCAGCAAGATAGGTGGATCCTAGATTTCTGGTAGCAGCTTAACTAGACTTTGGGTCTCCATAGGAACCATTATCAGTTGGGTGTGAACTCCGCCCACAGGAACCAAACTAATGGCCTTAGGCTCCAGCATCAGGGAGCAAGGCCCCCCCCTCTCCCCCCTGGGATGAGACAGCAGTCTGGCAGCAAGTATCTGACTTCCCCCCACAACTTTCCCCTAAATGTTAACTATTTCTTAGATACATACCTCTGGTTTTCTCTCTTGTTTATTAGACTAGTAGAGTGTCTACTAATTTTTGTATTTATTCTTTGGGAAAATTCTTTTGCTCATAACCCAAACTTGCTTCTTCAGCCTATCTTTTATTACCTACGTTCTCTGGCAATACATTCCTGAGACAATACTTATTTTATCATGTTGCAAACAACTTTTTCCCTTTATACTCAAATCTCGAAAAATAGAGACTCTCAAAGTGCAATAAGCAGTAAGTTGAAAATTTGGATTTAAGCATATTTTTGAAACTTGTTTTATGCAGACTTGATTAGTGTATTAGAACATGGGACTACAATTTATTAAGTAAGAGTTGATGTTGTAAAGCCAACAACATTAAAAGTCACGTTTTACTATGTTGGTGCCATCTTTTTATCGCCTTAAATGATTCTTCGTTAGTTGTCTTAGTTTCTTAATGCTGTTATAACAGAAATAGCACAAATTGGGTAGCTTTGTGGAGCAGGAATTTATTTTCTCAAAGTTGAGTCCGGAGGTTCAAATTCAGGACAGTGTTAAAATTTTCTCAGTCATGCTTTAAGCCATGTCCTACAAATTTTGATAATACAGGCAATCACCAAGTCATGAACATCTGACTCACATACAACCTGTAGTTATAGATTAACCCGTATATATCATCCCTTGAGCACAAACTCTGAGCCTGCACAGAGTGGGACTGAGTGGTGCCTTGCACCAAAGGGCAATCCCTGTACCTCCCCAGCCTTGGGCAGTGCCCACCTCCAACTCAGCTTGGAAGATGATGGTGGTATATATGGCAGGCAATGTCGCTTCAGCCACAGCTCTGGAGCTGGCATGGGCTCAGCTGAGGCTGAAGGGGGGAGAGGGGTGGGGCAAGAACTAGGCAGGAGGCTGAGGTATGACCCTAGCTTCACTTCACAGAGTTGGATGCCAGGCTCCAAGGACAATGGAGAGGAACAATCACTACTGCTAGAGGCACCTCTAGGGGCTGGGGACTTTTCACCTAAATCACCGTCAATATACAATAGGTCCTAATAATAAAGTCATTAGTTTATGATGCATGTCAAAACATTATCATTACTGTACTATGTTAAAAATGTTTTGGTGTTTCTTTAATTTTTTTTCTTTTGCACAGAAAGGCACATAATAAGACAAACATTTGATTAACTGACAAATATAATATAAATATATATTAAAAATATATAATATAAATATAAACACCTAAGTGTTCTGAATTAATGTATAAATTTGAGTTAAGGATAGGCTTAGTAATGAAGCTCTTGGTAAGCCAGAGACTGCGTATATTATGTTATCATCTTCATTCACTTCAGTGTGGTTTTATATTTCTCTTTGACTAATAGATTTACAAGTATATTGTTTAGTTTCTAAATAGTTGGAGATTTTCATTCCTTTGTATTAAGATTTTTTGTTTTATTCCATTGATTTGTTGAAATTTTTTTATGGCCAACATACCTGTTTTGGGATGTGTTTTTAGGGAACTAGTAGAGAATGTATAGTCTACTGTTATTGTCAGGAGGTGTTCTATAAAATTATTAGATTCTCTGTGTTAGTCTAATATCTGTTGGACTGATAGTGTTAAAGGTCGTTAGGTGGCATAGTGGGTTGTGTGTCTGGCTGCTAACCGCAAAGTCAGCATTTTGAAACTGTCAGCTGCTCCACGGAAGAAAGATGAGACTTCCTAGTCCAGTAAAGAGTTACAGTCTTGGAAACTCACAGGGATGGTTCTACACAGTCCTTATAGGATCACTGAGTTTGAATTGATGATAATGAGTTTGAGTGAGGGTGTTTTTGAGTTCTGTGTATTTCTATCAGTTGTTGAGAGAAGCGTGTTCAAGTCTCCAGCTATAATTGTTGATTTGTTTTGCTTTACATTCTATTTTTACTTCAAATGTTTTGTACTTCTCCTGTTTCATAAAGAACATGTTTAGAATTGTCATGGAGGCACGGGTACCCTGGTGGTGTGGGCTAGGTGCTGGACTGTTAAGCACAAGATTGACAGTTCAAACCTACCAGCCACTCTGTGGGAGAAAGTTAAGGCTGTTTGCCCCCCTGTAGAGTTGCTGAGTCTTAAACAACTCAGTGACAGTGAGTTTGGTTTTATGTCTTAGAGGAGTATCTTTTATTATTGCATAATCCTGCCTTCTGTTTATGGTAATTTCATTTCCTTTGGCGTTCGTTTTACGTGTTATTAATGTCGTTACTCCTACTTTCTTTTGATTAATGTTTCAACTTACTGTTTATTGCACTTTGAGAGAGTCTCTATTTTTCGAAGACCAGGCTGTGTTTTGTTCTGTTGTCAGAACTCACTAGGTGGCTTATAACACTGATTATAATAGGATTCTGGATTACCAGATTTGTTTCAGCACTTGTGCCACTCTGGCTTACATGGTTTATGATAAGAAATCCTATGTCATTTGGATTATTTTTCTTGGCATCTTTAAAGATTTCTTTGTTTCTCTTTAGTGTTCAAAAGTGTAGTTTTGATGTGGAATCCTTTGAGTTTGTTTTGTTTGGGATTTGTTCAGGTTATTGAATCTGTAAGTTTGGGTATGTTTTTAATACTGCCTTTGGCCTTCTATCGTTCCATACATAAGTGTTGTTGTATATGTTGTTATAGTCCCACAGATCTCTGAAAATCACCCCCTCCCCCTAGTATGCCTTGATTCTCTTGTTACTCTTGAGTGATTTCTCTCTATTTTTCATTTCAGTGATTCCCCTCCCCCCATTCCCTTCATTTTGTTAATGAGCCACTCACTAAGCTTTTTAATTTCATATTATATTTTTCAGCACTAAAATTTTCATATTGGCTACTTTCATCCAATGTTTACGTACAGAGAATTTCGTTTTCTTTGCTGAGTCTTCCTTTTTAAATTATTTGACTTCATGTTTATAAATGCATATGAAGCATTTTTATCAACTGAGACTTATGTAGGTTGAAGTCTGGGAAGAGTAGTCATAACACAGTTAACCCCAAAGAAGGACACACTACCCTCTACTGATTGTGGTCATTGAATAGGAAGCCCTATCTGAGTTTTAATTGGCCTGTTCCTATGGCAATGTCTTGTGAAATATAGTAAGAATCAGTTCCTCACATGGTCCAACTAAAACTAATAAAAACAAATGCCAAATTGCTCCCACATTTAGCGATACATAAAGCACCTTCTGAAAGGCTTTGAGATTTATTTTGTTGCTATTAGGTCTCATGAAGTCAGTACTGACTCATAGCTCCATGTCCAATATGAGGAAACAGTTCAGTCCTGTGCCATGCTCACAATTACTGTGTGAGCCTACTATGTCAGTCCATCTCATTGAGGGTTTTCTACTTTACTGAGCATAATGTCCATTTGGAAGAACTGGTCCCTCTTGATAGCATGTCCAAGAGTGTGAGTCTTTTATCAGGGAAAAGAGTGAATCTTTTCTCAGGGAGAAATGGGCTGCACTTCCTCCAAGACAGATTTGTTTCTTCTCCGGTAGTCCATGGTACTTTCAATATTCTTCAACAATTCCATAATTCAAGTATATCAATTCTTCCGTGTCATATTCATTATCTAGCTTTCATATACATATGAAGCAATTAAAATATGCCAAGGCTTGGGTCAAAGATTTATTTATGTAAATTCTTGTGATTGTTTTATTTTGGGCACTTAAAATTAACTTACAGATGACTCAAGGTCCTGGAATTTTTTTTGCCACCCTTTTTATGTTAACCCTTAAAACCAAACTTGCTCTTATCTTTGATCTTTTTATTACGATATCAGGAGGGTTTTAAAAATCTTAAGTGTGAGATTGTATTTGACTTCATTGCATTGTTAAATTTGGTTGTCTGGTTCATTATAGTTACGATAACTATAATGATAGTCATCGTCATGACTGTCCCACGACTTGTCTATTAGTTTGTTGTACTGTGATGATGTGTGATGCTGGAAGCTATGACACTAGTATTTCAGATGCTATCAGGGTCACCCAAAGTGAACAGAGCTTCCAGACTAAGAAAACAAAGAAGGACTCCACTCCCCACTTCAGAGGAAGAAGTCGCCGAAAACCTTATGCATAATATCTTTGAAGGAATGTCAAATACTGAAAGCCTAAACAAAAGAAGCAGAACATTGTCAGAGACAATGCTGGCGGGTGGGCCTATCGGGTTCAAGGGCACTTGAATGTGACTGAAGAGGAGCTGATTTCTTGGAAGGGTGTGGACCATGGTAACTCTTAGTTCAGTAAGCATATGGGAGTAGAACTTTCTGGATCTTCATTTGCTCATGGTGCACAACTCAAGATAAAGAGAAACAGCTGCAAAAATCTTTCAGTGGTTGGAACTTGGAATGTGCAAAGTATACGTTTAGGAAAATTGGAAGTGGTCAAAAATGAAATGGTATGCATAAAAGTGGATATGCTAGGTATTAATGAGCTGAAATGGACTGGTATTTGGCTATTTTGAATCAGAAAATTGTATAATTTGTTATGCCAGGAATAACAAGAGGATGGTGTGGCATTTTATTGTCAGAGGAACTCGTGATGAACCCATCATGCAGTACAGTCCTGCCTAAAAGGGTTGTATATATCTACCTTTGAGGAAATCTAATCACTACAGTTATTCAACTGTATGCACCAAACACGAAAGCTAGTGGTGAAGAAATTGAATAATTCTACTGAAAATTTCAGTTGGAAATTAATCAAACATTCATTCAAAATGCATTATTATAGGTGATTGGAATGCAAAAGTTGGAAACAGAAAGGAACAGTAAGTGGAAAATGAGTTTGGTGATAGAAATCAAGTTGGAGATGGCATGAGTGAATTTTGCTAAACAAACAACTTGTTCATAGCAAATACCTTTTTTCAAAAACAAAAGGTTGCTATGCACATGTACTTCCCCAGATGGAATTCACAGCAAACAAATTGACTACATCTCTGGGAAGACAACAATGGAGAAACGCATTATCAGCAACTGAAACCAGACTAGGGGACTCACCATAGAACACTACACCAATTGCTCATGTGTAAATTTAGGATAAAACTGAAGGAAAGTAAAACAAGTCCACGGAAATGAAAATACGACCTTGAGTCTAATCTCACCTGAATTTCGAAAGCATCTCCACAGATTTGACACATTGAACACTAATGACGGAAGGCTTGATGAGCTGTAGGGGGGACAGCAAGACCATCATTCATGAAGAAAGCAAAAAGATAATTAAAAACAGGAACGAAATGACCAAAGTGTATGTCAGCAGAGACGCAGAAGTTTGCTCTTAATCATAGAGTAGCTAAATCAAATGGAAGAAAGGAAGAAGAAAAAGAGCTGAACATAAAATGGCAGCGGAGAAGACAAAGCCAAATGTAACGAAATGTGCAAGGACCTAGAATTAGAAAAACAGAAAGGAAGAGCGTGTTGCTCAGCATATATGAACCTGAAAGGACTCAAGAAAAAAGTCAAGTCTCAGATTGCAATTTTGAAAGATTCTATAGGCAAAATATTGAATAATCCAGAAAGCATCAAGAGAAGATGGAAAGAATACACAGCATATGAGCAAGAACCATTGAGTCCTGCCAAAGGAAGATGTTCAAACTGCAAGGCTCCTGGAACTGATGGAATGCCCGAGATGTTTCAGAAAGCTGAAGAAGCACAGGAAGCACTCATTCATCTATGCCAGGAAATTTAGGAGACAGCTACTTGGCTAACTAACTGGAAGAGATCCATATTTGTGCCAATTCCAAAGAAAGATGACCTAACAAAATGCTCTAACTGTAGAATGATATTGCTATGGCACACAAGTAGAATTTTGCTTAAGATAATCCAACAATGGCTGCAGCAACACATTGACAGGGAACTGCCAGAAGTTCTGGATGGATTCTAAAGAGGACATGGAACAAGGGATATTATTGCTCATGTCAGCTGGATCTTGGCTTAAAGCAGAGAATACCAGAGAGATGCTTAAGTGTTTCATTGACTATGCAGAGGTATTTTACTGTGTGGACCATAATAAACTGTGTGTAACTTTGAGAAGAATGGGAATTCTAGAACAATTTGTTGTGTCATTTGTGACTTGCATATGGATCAAGAGGCAGCTGTGTGGACAGTACAAGGGTAATACTTTGTGATTTTAAATCCGGAAAAGTGTGTGTCAGGATTGTATCCTTTTCACCATACTTAACTTTTAATGCTGAGCAAATCATCAGAGAAGCTGGATTATGTGAAAAAGAGTACAGCATAAGGATGTGAGGAGAACCTGAAGCACTTACTGATAAAAATCAAGGATTGTAGCCTTCAGTATGGATTAGAATTCAGTGTAAGGAAAAACCCAAATTTTTGCAAACTGGACTAACATGTAACATCATGATAAATAGAGAAAAGATTGAAGTTGTGTAGGATTTTATCTTACTTGTATCCACAATCAATGCTCATATCCAAAATCAATGCTCATGGAAGCAGCAGTCAAGAGCTCAAAAGATGTATTAGGGAAATCCTGCTGGACAAGGCCTTTTAGAGTATTGAGCACGAGGACATTTCTTTGAGTACTAAGATTCACCTGGCCCATCCACTGCCTCACATGCATGTCAAAGTCAGACATTGAATAAGGACCCTAGAAGAATTGATGCATTTGAATTGTCATATTTGAAAAGATAATTGAGAGGGTCCCATAGGTTGCTGAAAGGACTAACTGATCTGTATTGGAAGAAGGGCAGAGTAGTGGTTCTCAACATTCCTAATGCTGAGAACCTTTAATACAGTTCCTTATGTTGTGGTGACCCCCCCCCCCCAACAATGAAATTATTTTTGTTGCTATTTCATAACTGTAATTCTGCTACTGTTATGAATCGGGCGATCCCCAAAAGGGTCCCAGCCCACAGGCTGAGAGCTGCTGCCTTAGAAGCAAGAATGACAAGATTTTTTTATCTTATTTTGACATACTGTCAGGAGACACCAGTCTCTCGAAAAGCAAAAAGGGGTAGGAATGGGGGCAACAACAAAAAAGGAAGGCCTTCAAGGAGTTGGATTGTCACTGTGGCTGCCTCAGTGGGCGCAGGCATAGAAACAATTGTGACGATGCATGGGACTATGCGGTGTTTCATTCTGTTGTGCGTAGGGTTGCTTTGGGTCGGAGCCAACATAGTGGCACCTAATAACAAAAATGTATGTCGCCTCTTCCTTTCTAAGCCCTCTTTCTGCTCCCGAAATTCAGTTTCATGATACTGACCAGGTAGGCAAACACGGAACACTGGTAGCAATCTTCTCATTAGATATCAAGTGTCAGTACTTCTTTTCAGGAGATTTATCTATGAAACAAACAGTCATTTTGAGTCTTCATAGTCAAAATTTTTTTCTATGGTTTGATAGGTTGGTAATAATCACATGCACCGTCATAACCGGTGTGATGTTTTGATACTTTGTACATTTATAAATATTTAAATATTTTCCTGAAAATATTTCCAGGAAATCCACTTACCCAGGATATATTGAACCTCTATCAGGAACCAGATGGAACACGAAGGTTGTTAAGCTATTTGCTCGATAATTTGGCAGGTACTGCAAAAAGAAGTAAGTAGTTATTTGTTTAAATCATTTTTATTAGGAAGATACGTAAGAATATTGCTTAATTTTCAATTCTATGTTCAACTAGTTTCAACAGAGCAGCCACCTCCAAGATCTTGGATTATGCTACAAGAACCAGACAGAACAAGGCCAACTGGTTGGTGATCTCTTTTTCCCTTCCTACTTCTTGTGGGTTTTTCTAAACATAACAGTATTGTTGATGTAGATTAGGGGCTTTATAAAGGGAGACTTTTATGGTTAATTTGATTTGGGAAGTAATAAGAAAGACTAAATTCATACACATTTGACATCTATGTATATTGTGCTGTGTAGAAAGTATGCTATACAACTTGACTCCTCAATTTGGGAAATTTTATTTCTTGGGACATTATATATATATATGTGGATATATTTTTGGTGCTTATAGCATGGAGTTGTGTGTGTTGCGGGGGGTGGGGAGAGCTTATAGGTTGTTGGCCTACATGGCTAGAGCACAGGTGCTGTTTTAAATACTTTATCCCACTCAAAATGTCAGTGGTGTCTCTGTTGAGAAATCTGCAAAAAATTATTCACAATCAGTTATATATTTACACACAAAAATCTTCTTTGCAATCTTTTTTTCTTTCTAGCATAAAACTTTCATGTTCCAATTAGTATCTGGCAGCACAGAATTAGTAGATAGCCAAAACTTGCACTTGCAAGGGAAAATTGAACCAATGACTTCTAATTTCATTTTAATGAATTTAGAATTTGTCAAAAATAGATGAAGAATTTCCATGGTGTGGGTAGCAGGATTTGGTCTGTGATAGCCCCCATTTTTGCCTGTATTACAATAATTGGTTTTAAATTTCAAAAAATCAGTCATTGAAAATGTACAATTCTAGTCTTATACAGGTGAGGTCACCATGAGTCATTGGTTCTATGGAAGGAAGTTAGGCGTGACTAGTGAGGAGACTACCTCTCACATTAACATTGGGAGAGTAGTTGGTGGGGGCTGGGGTGTTGTAGAAATTAGAAACCTTGATCTTGGATGAGAAAAGGTTCTAGAATTTAGTCTTACAGCTTCCTAACCTCCTGTGTGCACCTCTTTAATAGGCAACACATATTTGCCCTTTTGTATGCCCTGGATATTTGGTATATAATAGCATATCAATATATATTGAATGAATAAAGTCAAATGTAGCTTTTAAATGAAATTATTACTGATTCTGTTTTTCCCCTGCCACATGTATGAATAAGTAAAGTTATCTTCCCTACAGCCTTGTTTTCTGTCATGTGCTACAATGTTCTTTGTGATAAATATGCGACCCGGCAGTTATATGGCTATTGTCCGTCTTGGGCACTAAATTGGGACTACAGGAAAAAGGCCATTATTCAAGAAATCTTGAGCTGCAATGCTGATATTATAAGTCTTCAGGTAAGTCATTCAGGTGTTTGTTTAAATTGCACAAATCCCCCAGAATTAATAAAAGGAAAGCAGAAATTTGGAATACATTACAGTGACAAAGCCCCAGCTTTCACAGTTCTTAAAATACTAGCTTTCCAATAGTTCACTCATTAAAAAAAAAAAAAAAAAAAAGGTTTTCTATGATTTGGCAGCAATGCATTTTCTTTCATATATGCACAGCATTTTCTAGCAACTTCAACTGGTATTATTGTAATCTTAAATGTGATTTCTTTTTTCTTAAATGTGATTTCAATAATTCTGGTAAAGGGTCATGTGAGAAATCACTGCAGAATTTTACTTGTTCCCTTTAGTTTTCTTAAAGCCTTCAATAGTAGGCCAGTAAATATTTGTTGGATGAATAAATGAAAGAATTGAGGGAGGTATCATTGATTGATATAACTAACACATCTGAAATTGAAATTATATGGAGGCATAGTTCTTACTGGTTGGGCTGCTAACTCCAAGGTAGGCCGTTTGAAGCCATCAGTTGCTTCTACTCCTATAAAGAGGTACAATCTTAAAAATTCACAGGGACAATTCTACCCTGCTTTTAGGGTCGCTATGAATAGGGACCAGCCCGATGGCAGTGAATTAGTGATTTTATTGAGTATGAATTTGCCAAACTCAACCAATAAACTCTGCTAAATGGTTATTGCACTTCTTAAAATTATATGTATACATATACATTAGCATTTCGTTTTCAGTGAATCCTAGGAGCAGTTTCTACCTGCTTCACTTCTCAGCACTGGTCCAGATTAGACAAATGGGTTAAGTTGGGATTTATGTATTTGCTGAGGTAGCTATCCTCCTTTAGCTGCGTGTTACCGCTTACACTATTTCATAGTTAGATGACCATGTCCCTGAATTGTTGCTGAATTGCCAAGATACAAATAGCTTTACCACAAGTGTCATTACAATAACTTGTGTGACTTTGACCAACTCCTTGACTTAGACTGTTGTTCCACATGAATTCTAAAACATAAGGACAAGGGTTTTTGTGTTTTTCCACTTCCTCGCTCCGAAACAATAAAGACTTGGTGATGGCAAAATGACAAGTAGTTCAGATTCGTTTCAGATAAATTGCGTTGAAATGATGCTGCATCATTTATTCAGCAGGCCTACCCTTTGATATTTTCAGCTCTCAAATACTCTTAATGTAAAGGGCTGGTTTTTTTTGTCTTACATAATTTTGCTGTTTATAATTTTTCAGGAGGTTGAGACGGAGCAGTATTACAGTTTTTTTATGGTAGAACTGAAAGAGCGTGGCTATAATGGATTCTTTAGTCCCAAGTCTAGAGCTCGAACGATGTCAGAACAAGAAAGAAAGCATGTTGATGGCTGTGCAATATTCTTCAAGACAGAAAAGTAAGTCACTGTGTTTTCAAGCGGAGAATTCTCCCAGCATGGGCAGGATTGGGACCAAGAATGTCGAAATTAGTCGGTAATTAAAAGAATGAGACACTAGATTATTAAAGAGAAACCTGTGGGGCTTTCTGTTTTATTTTTTTTAAGTACTGTTGTTTCTTCAGGTGTTGACCAGGGCTTAACTCCAATTGTTAATTGAAACACCATGTAGCTAACATTCCTCTAGGACAGTAGCAGAATTCTTAAGCTCATGCTCTGGAAAAGAATTGTTTAAAAACGATAAGATAGAAGTATTTCAACATGAAACCTAAACAGCAGATGACTACATTTTAATATGTTTGTAAAGGTATTTCAAGATGCTATTTGTATCAGTGGCAAATTGAGAACACCTAAAAGTTAATATGGAAGTTTGGTGTGGCTTGTAGAGGATTTTCCATAGTGTCATTTTAAGTGCCATCATATCTTTTAAGGAATTTGGGGGGAACTCCATTTCCCACAAAGCTATTATATTGATATTCCCAAGTCTGTGTTTGTGTGTGTGTGTGTGTGTGTTTGTTTGTTTGTTTTTGTTTTAGATTTACTTTGGTTCAGAAACACACTGTTGAATTTAATCAGCTAGCAATGGCAAATTCAGAAGGGTCTGAAGCTATGCTGAACAGAGTCATGACCAAAGATAACATTGGAGTTGCAGTACTGCTAGAACTTCGAAAGGAGTTGGTTGAAGTGTCATGTGAGTGACCCTTTCACTTCCTATAAATTTGACTTCCCAAATTTAAATGTTTTACCCTAACATCTTCTCAAAGAATAGAAAACGGGAAATTCGCTATGTATTAACAGCTTTGTCTTTCTTAACACCTGAAGAAACTCAGTGAGAATTAAAAATACTACATCCTTTTTTTACTCTACAATAAAATTTAAGCTGAGAAAGCATTGCCCAGAAAAGTATATTAAACCTTAACCTGAAATGCTCAGAGATAAGAACTCTATGCCCTTCCTTCCTTCTTGATGATAGCAATACCTTTTAAGACTCCTCGTCTTCACCTACATAAAATAATTATTTTAAATGTCTTTCGAATAAATGAGGCATTTGTCTCATATTCAAAGTATATTAAAATGACCTCATGTGGAGAACTTAAGCATTCTATAATGTGAATAACTGTTGGAGTTAAGATATTTAATCTAAAGAATAAAAAATTTTGTATATATATATAAAATAGTCTTACTAGGTCTTTAAAAGATTTCATTTCGGGAAGCCTGATATAAGACCAAAAGTTTAAGGAGGTAGAAGTATTTAAAAATCACTATTGTACTAAATTGGATGGCCCTGTCTTCGTATAAATAGTGGCTCCTTTATCTTGGAAATAATACAACCATATGTTTAAATTCCTAGTTCTCAGGAAAATTGTTAGGTAAATTTTTTTTATTCTAAGACTGAAATAACTTGCTCTCGGCCATTCTAAACATAAGGGCTGATGGATGCGTTTTGTTTCTTTTTTTGTTTTGTTTTATCTAATATAGCTGGAAAGTCACATCTTGGAACAGAAAAGCAACTTATTCTTGTGGCTAATGCGCATATGCATTGGGACCCTGAGTATTCTGATGTGAAGCTGGTGCAAACTATGATGTTCCTCTCAGAAGTAAAGAACATTATTGATAAAGCCTCGAGAAACCTCAAATCCAATGTAGTGGGAGAATTTGGAACTATTCCACTTGTCTTATGTGCAGATCTTAATTCTTTGCCAGACTCTGGTAAGAAAACTTCTTTTATGCGTAAAGCTTGTTCAGCTCAAAATATATTGTAATGTACTTCTAACTTTAGAATTCTAAATTTAGTCTAAATGAAAATTTTATAGTAGCATCCATTAATCCAGTTCAAGAAAATCCTACCTCCCATGGGGTGGGGAAACCATTTTGAAATTCAAACAATAGTATGAAAACCTAATATGGAGGATGGACATTAATTATTTTTGGTAAACACTTAGGTGATCACGTGAAATAACTCATTAAAGAACATGTCATTGTATTTGGTATCTTTAAGTCCTATGAAATTCAGGCTCTAAAAGTTACTGGGGTAGCCTCTGGGGTTCCAGCAAAACTGTTAATACAAGAGACCTTCAAGAAGTTCATGGAAAATGGAATTCAAAATAGTGGAATTTTCCCACAGATTTTTAGAAGCTCCTTTGTATAATCTTCACAGTTTAAATTTGACCATATACTGCAGAATCTCAAATGCTACTACTTTTGTTGGGTTGATTACAGCCCAACAGATATCCTTAGGTTGGAAATTTAGGTTCTTAATTTACATGGAATTTCTAGCCCCACCAAAAATCAAGGATCTTGATTTTTATCATAATAGAAATCATTCAGAAAATTTGCTTTTTGAACTTACCTCTATAGATTATAAAGTGGCTAAGTCATGGTCCTTATAAAATAAAGACACTAAATATTTTCTTCTTTTGCTTTTCATCTTATTTATCATATATCAGACATAAATAAGATTTATGTCCATCACTTGCACACACACTTTGAAATGATTCAATTTAGTGTCATGTCATTAACATCACAACATATGGCATTAAGAAAACAAACTATTAAAAAAATTTTTTTTAGGGAAAATAGAAGATATTTAAATTTTATCTCACTAAGTTACCAGGGAAATACTGCCCTGAAGCAGTTGAGGATTATTCTCTAACAGTTTCTGTATATAATTCCTATTCTGCATAGCTACAAAGTATTCAAGGGACAAGGAGAGAATCTAATAATATTTAATCTAAGACTTAGTACAGAAAAATTACAGTATGTAAATAGAAGACACATGGCAAAATGTTCAGCCTTGCTGAGAAAGTTAAATATATTTGCAATGCCAATCTTATACTTCAAAAATCATGCTCAGGGATGGGGAAGTTCTCTGTAAGGAATTTGTGATAATCTCTTCTATAGCGATTATGTAAAATGGCAAATTTTGTCCTAATCTTAGAATTTTATACTAAGTAAATAATTTAGCGTAAGCGGAAAGCTATGTACTAAGATGTTGATTATGGTGTTATCTTTTTTTAAAAATCATTTTATTGGGGCTCATACAACGCTTTCCATAATCCATATATAACATCTATTGTGTCGAGCACATTTGTTGCCATCAGATTACGGTGTTTTAACAAAATTGAGACAACTTGAATATTAAAAATAAGGTAAATAGTCTAACAACTACCATCCACCAGCTCTTGCAATGTCCAACCATTTTTAACACGGTAGTTGGAAAAGCACATAGGAAGGTGTTTAATACAGTATTGAATGGAAAGAGTAAAGTATGTGCAATATGATTGAAACTATATGGAAATAGAATTGGACAAGTACTAGAAATTTTTAAACAGACAAAAATGAATCATTTTAGGAATATATGTGTTTAAAACTTACTCATGCATAATCTTTTGTTACTTTGGTATACTGTATATTGTACTCATCATATGAACAACTGTATTATAGGAGTTGTAGAGTATTTGAGCACTGGTGGAGTAGAAACAAATCATAAAGACTTTAAAGAACTGAGATATAATGAAAGTCTTACAAACTTCAGCTGCAATGGAAAGAATGGGACAACCAATGGAAGGATCACTCATGGTTTTAAGTTACAGAGTGCCTATGAGAATGGCCTGATGCCTTACACTAACTACACATTTGATTTCAAGGTGAGTTTGGAGAGTCACAAGCTTTTTAAAAGCTCCATTTTCCTAGAAAGTCTTATAACTTCTTATGTCTTTAAAATACGGCAATATGTACATAATGTAATTAAGCAATCTTAAATTAGTTGACAGCAGTACTCTTTTATTGCCCCTTTATAGAATTCCATGTGATTGGTGTCCTATCCTTAACATCATAGATACTTATTAGGACAATTTCCAGGATAAGAAATTAGATGAAATAACAGTAGTAAATGAATTCCTGAGATATCTCTGCTTTTTTTAAAAAAAAAAAATTGTTTTTTTATATGCTCAGTACTAATAGCATCAGGGCCAGATAACATGTTTTTCTGTACATTCCATGTGAAATTTTTCCTGCAGACTAGTAAGTAAGCACAAAGCCTTACTTACTGGATATTCCATTCCTATCAGAGATTATAAATTTGAAAAGAGTTTGGTTCAAATGCCAGCCATACCTAGAAGTAGAATCTTTGTTGTGGTGATAAAATATTAAATTGTTTACTATTGATTAGTAAGCAAGCGCAAGCTTGTGCTTACCTTGGTTGTTGAGTATTCTTACTTAGTATCAACAGGGAAAAAACCCCAAATAATCCCATTGAAAACTAGACAGAGGACATGAACAGACACTTGACTGAAGAAGACAGGCAGCCAACAAAACATGAGGAAATGCTTGCCATCATTGGTCATTTGAGAGATGCAAATCAAAATAACAATGAGAAATAACCTGACCCCTCCAACAATAGCAAATCTCAAAAACACAGAAAACAACACATGCTAGAGAGGGTATAAAGAAACTGATACCCTCCCCCCCTCCGTACACTGCTGGTGGGACTATAAAACATTACAAACACAATACAATTCTCAAAAGCTGGGACTAGAAATACCACATGACCTAGTAATCCCTTTGCTTTGTATATAGCCAAGAGAAATAAGCCTCGACCTGTATTGATATGTGGCCTTTCCTGTTCATTCCATCAGTATTCACAATAGCAAAAAACAATTGTGACAGCGGGGGAGACACTAAGGTTTACAAGAGTTAAAGGCAACAGAAGTATTACACGCACAGTCCTGCAATAGCAATAATCTTTGAGTAGATGGTTGGATAGACACACAGGCTAAACGGGGTAAAGTTCTGAAAACTTAGACACGGGCAAACACTTTGAGGAACTAAGTCACGGGGATTGGGCCCTCAGAACTGTAGACTCTGGGCACACCAGGGTCAGTTGAAGTAACATAGTTCACAAAGACATTGTTTGACATTCTACTTTGGTGAGCAGAGGCTGTGGTCTTAAAAACTCATGAGCAACCATGTAGGGGGCAACTGTTGGTCTCTCCCTATCCTATGGGAAGAAGGGTGATAAAATAAAAACACATGGCTACAGCTAGTCCAACGGACTAACGGATCACACAGACATCACTTCCCTCCAATCTGAGACCAGAAGAACTGCGTGGTGCCTGGCCATCACTACCAAGTACTCTGAAAAGAATCACATTAGGAAGTCCTGGATGGAGCCAGAGAAAATAATTAATCAAAACCTAGAATCATAAAAGAGACCGGCCTACTGGTCGAATAATAACTGGCATCCCCACAGCAGTATAGTCCCCTCCCTATTCACCCTTAGGCCTGGAACTGAACTCACCCTTGTGTTAGAATAATCAGCTATTTAAGATCAAAAGGGCAGTATTTACCCCAAGGACAAACTTCAAAGGGTTAAGAAAGACAATGGTATGAAAACAGGAAATATAAGTGAGTGTACATTGAGGGCCTTGCAATAGATGTGTTAAATTGTTATGACAGAATGATTTCTTTGATCTGCTCTGTGAACGTTCACCTAAACCAAAATTAAAAGTTGAATTTAAAAATTTTGCGAAAACCTAGAATGATTATTATATTTAAACTCTGTTATTACTGGATTTGATATTTGGGAGGCTTTAGAAGCTAGGAACTCTTGTTTCTTAAACATTTTGACTGTACAGGTTTTGAAATTTTCAGGGGTATTTTATGTACTTGCCTTTTTTTTTTTAACTTTTTCAGGGTATAATTGACTACATCTTCTACTCTAAACCTCAGCTGAACACGTTAGGCATTCTGGGACCTCTGGACCACCATTGGCTTCTTGAGAATAATATCAGCGGCTGTCCACACCCACTCATCCCCTCTGACCACTTTTCACTTTTTGCACAACTAGAGCTCTTACTGCCTTTCCTACCCCAAGTCAACGGCATTCACCTTCCTGGCAGGAGGTAGTCAAGTACCTTCAGAAAACATCCATTTCATTTGTCAACTCGTAAAATTTTGAATATAGGGGAGTGATGTATGGCCCCAAGGATTTTTTTTTAATAATGATTTGACTTTGCAATCTGATTATTTGATAAGGATATAGTATGAAAGCCAGGTGCTAGCAACAGACAAATTCTGAGCCCAATATGCTTTATATACTGTTAGACAGGGATTGGTGTGTTGACACCTATCTTTAATTTGTTACAAGTAATTTTGCTGTGTCTTCTATCCAATATATTTTCATGCCTTGAAACAGGAAAATGTTTGAACAGCATATTCTCTTTGCACAGAACTCTGTAGCACTATTTTTTTGAGGCCAGTAGTAACATCCAGAGATCATTCTTCGGTACTTTTCTCTCCTTTTTCAGACTTGTTTGTAAAATATAGAATTTGAATTTAGCCTTTATGATTGTATATGATCCACAGAAGACCTGATTTGTGAAAACTTTGTACTTTAAAAAAAATCTGATTTGGAAATGATTGTATTGTAACTAAGGCTAATTCTTCTTACCTGTTTTCATATGTTTAAAAAGCCAGCTTGTCAAAGAAGTTGCAACAGACTTTCTCTGCTGATGATTTGCACTGTCAGGGTTTTGTTAGCCCTGTTACACTACTTTATTTTTAAATTGAGAACATTGCTTTTTAACTAAAGCTGTTTAAACCTTAGAACATTTTCTGGGACCTGAGACAACTTATTGATGAATTCCTGAATTTTTATGGAAACTATCTACCAGGACAGATAAGCTGAGCAGTGAATGATCTATAGGCATTTATGGACTGAATGAAATGGTTGATGTATGTACATTCTGATGTTTTTAAAACTTTAACTTTTTTAAGATGAAAAATTGCAGCTGCTATGGTACAGCTTCTTAACTTCTTTCTGAGATCCTTCTTGTCCTATCTCCACTGTGCCTGCCTAAATTTGTTCTCACCAAGCACTGCCTGTGCATGCAGAGAAACTCTGTGCATCCTCTTTTATATTTTTTAAATACTGTTCAACAATTGTGAGAATTTTATGACAATGCTTTTGTACGAACTATGGTTTTTTTGTTTTTGTTTCCATTTGTGAAGCATTGAATATCACATTTTGGAGCATGTTCAAATGGTGGGTACCTGGGTCTTGGCTTACTAGACCCAAGCACTGCTTCCTGGTGTCCGTGCACAGTGCTGCTGGTCACCCAGATACTGCTATCATGTGAACTTGTTTGTTCTCCAGGTATTCCTGAGCCTCCCTTCCCCCAATCATTCCTTTTTAAGAAAAAGTAATTTTCCGTTTATGAAGCAGTATAAATTAGATGCATTTTCAAAACAGGTCCCTAAAGTAATATTTCTGATCATTTTTTAAAGTGACTAGGTGATTTTAATATGTCAACCAAGGTAAAAGTTATATTGTACCCTGTATTTTGCCCACAGTGCCATTAGTTGATTAGAGATTTAAATCTAGCTTTAAATATAAAATTAATTCATATATGTTCTGTTCTTGTTCATTTATTCTTTCAAAAATCATAAGAATTCAATTCAGAGGGAGCTTAGTCTAACTGCTTTTGTTTCAACTGCAGGCAGGGGAGCAAAAGATACCTTGTGAGCATTAAGGAAAAAATAGTTGAATGTTATTAACAATTTTTATATACAGAGACTGAGTCATTTTGGATAATGACTTAAAATTTATGAAAAATGTTGAGCACTTAAATGTGCCTATTCTGTTTTTAAAAGAAAATAAAAATTTTACATACTGTTAAAAGATTCTTTTTTTTTTTTTAACTCCCCTCCCAAGAGGTTTTGATCTTGATTCTTTGTCTGGGACCTGTTTTTTCCTTTGAGGTGTGTTGTTTTTTAAGATTTTGTTGTGATGGTTCTTTATGTTTTCCTTTTTATTAAGTTGTGCTGACACCAAACATGTCCAGTTTATAATTAGAACATTGGGAAGCTGGTATTATTAATGTAGAACCAATGCATAGCTTTTGATGGGGTTTTTGTTTTTTTTGTGTGGTTTTTTTGGTTTGCCTTTTTTTTTTTTTGTAAAGTGTTAATAAAAAGTGTGTTTACTCATTTTTCCTGAACACTGTGTTAGTAATGTGCATCATGACAATTTCCAGTGAGAGTAAGCTAGAGCTGGTTGGACTGATCAGATAGAGGAAACGGCTTTTCCGGTGATCGGCATTATGGAAGAGCAAGTCCAGAAAGCTTTATGATAGGGGGCCATGGAGAAGCACTTACTTCATTTTGTATTTGTTAATGGAGGATATTGTTCTTGTCACAGATTGCTGAAACTAGCGTGCACTTGTTAGATGATAAAGGTTTGAGCTTTACACAAAATGTGTTTCATCTTGTATTGTCTACATTATATTTGAACTTTGGGGCAGCATAGTAAGATACAATGTCCTGTTATGTCTTGAAAATAGTTTTTTCTTGCCTGTTGCCGGAATACTACATTGTGTGGGTCAGTTTGAGCCAGCTTCTCCATCTTATTTAGATAGTGATAAATGAAACCAAGAGCATAAATTTGCAATGCTAATCTTTTGGAGAACTATTTCGGGTCTCCAATGAATAAATGGTCACATCAAAAACAGATTACAATACTTTTGTTAAGCAAGGTTTTGTGTTAAAGTATTTTCTGTGTCCTGAATAATCTCCAATAATCAATACTCCCTAAAATGCAATAAAACCTGTATGTTTTCACAGTGCAGATTTTTTTCTAAAAGTCTTGTAACAAGTGTATTTAATATGGTATTATTGCCATATATGATTTCAATGTTTTTTCCAGATAAACTCATCTTATAAATGTTTTACAGATAATTGGGAGTATGTTTTCTGGTTTAAGTATCAGAAATGTGGAGGCACTCAATTCTCTGTTGTAAGTCTCTTGAAGTACATACTGTTTACCATATGTGTGATTATTTATGCTTTGAGAATTTAAATAATGTTCATCAAAATTAATTTATGACATAATTTAGACTGACATAGAAATACATTGTTGTTTGCAACCTTAATCATCCCAAAAGATAGGCAAAGAACATCTCCAAAAAATGTGGTTTTGTTTTTAATTACACTTATAACACCAGGAATTTAGGATTAGCACTTTGAAACCTAGAGGCATTTATTAAATTGGGTAGAGTGATCTTAAAATGTTGAAATTGAAATTTCAGAGCTCTTATAAAATTCATATTTTCAATGGTAAATTCAGGCTTTACTCTTCAATTTTTTACTATTTGAATTCGCTGAACCAGTTTCCACAGTGCTAAGGTTTTGAGTGTATGTCACGAAAAGTCCAAAGCCAATCTAGGGAAAACAGATTGTTCTTTGAATGGAGCAATCAGAACACGTAGTATAGATGTTCTAGGTCATTCACCTTCAGCACGTGCCCCTTCCCAATCCATCTGCAGTATTAGGAGATGTTCACTCTGCTCTTCTGTTGTGGTACATAAATTCTGATGACTCATATCTTGGTGATTGGAGTAGTGTCTAAAATAGCATCTAGTCTTGATCCACAGTACATTATGTTGTGTAATGCACTGGACTGACTCTTGTTTACCATTCATGTGTCCAAACCCAGCACATTATCTGCACTAAGCTCAAAGGATGTTGCATTTGCCTCTGCAGCGTCTTTGATAAGGGTAATGGGAAACGGGAATATGTACAATATGAACTGGCAGTAACAAGTGCTTTTACTGTTCTCTTCAGTGGAACTTTTTGGTCAAATTGTAACTAGCTAGTATTATATTTATATACAGGGTCTCTTTTCTTTACCGATGTATTTTCCTACTCATAGCCAACCAATAAATTCAGTATCTGTTGAAAATATTTTAAAAGTGTACTTTCTGTAGCTGTAGTACTGAAGTTTGAGAAAAATCAATGTTAACCAGTGGGACTCACATTTAAAATTTTTAGTAAGTCATCTGGGCCATCATTGTAACTCTCCCTTTTGAATGGTGTAATCATTTGTGTTTTCTAATTGGCTGTGTTACTCTGTATAACACTCAAATCTTTGCCAAAGTTCAGTTTTATATTGATGTCTCTTTTGCATTTAGCATTTTTGTTGTTTCTGCTTTATACCTCATAAGAAATAAGTCTTTTGAAAGGAGATTAACATTTCAAATAAATGTTTTTAATTACAGTAGCAAATACGTGTTGGCACAGTTACACTAATGCATTAAATGTTTTACTATGTTTATATTTTGTTATGCATATAAACTAACAACTTTAAGCTCCCACCTCTTCATAAATTAAGAGTTAGTGACTTAACAGTTTAGGAAAACCTAAGTTCATTTGTTACTTAGAAACTATTTCTATAAGAAATAAACGTAAATTTTAATGTAGAAATGGGAAAATTCGTTTATACTTGAATTCAGAAGACAATGTAGGTAACATGGGATGCTGAGACATTGTTTTAGGCATTTTTTACCTAGTCAGTAGCTTTACCCACAAGAATTTTGTTCTTCGTGATTGTTGAAATATGTGTTAAAATAGGTTAATGAAGCATGCCTTAGTTTCTTTATAAATGTTGAGAAATATCTAAGGAAACATGAACTGAAATATATATATATATACTGTGAATTCCCTTGAGGAGTACTACCTTAGGCATTAGAATTCAAATTGATGTTAAAATAAACTTTCACAGATATTATAAAGTATTTTTAATATTTTGCAGTTTATCAGAATATTACTTCATTTTTTACTAGTATTCTGTAAGATGTTCAGAAACATTTCTGTAGTAACTAAATTTCCCTCGAAATGGTTTAAGTACTGGTTTCCCAAATCAGTCTTACTAACTGATATCATATATACAGTATTAGAAGATGTGAACTTTGCACTTCTGTTTTGGTACTAAAAGTAGTCTATAGCCAGAATTTCAGAAAACTGCTAGATTAAAACGTGGCGCAGTGGGCTGCTAACTACAAGGTTGGCAGCTTGAAATCACCAGCCACGCCAAAGGAGAAAGGCTGGCTTTCTACTCCCGTGAAGAGTTTTCGCTTCAGAAACGGGGGCAGTTCTACCCTGCCTCACGGTCACTGAGTCAGCGTCAGAACTCAAGGCAATTAGTTGTTTGTTTTTTCTATTTCAGTGAGTCAGCAGAGTAACACATAAATTGAATCCATGTGGAGAGAAAATGTTTTGAGAAACGATGTACAAATGCGCTTTACACAATTGGTGTGTGTATGGATTGGGATAACAGTTGTATGAGCCCCTAATAAAATGTTAAAAAATAAAATTAAATTAAAACTGACCAAAAAAAAAAATTGAATCCATGCATTTTAAAGCCAGTCAAGATTCCCCTCTTGGAAGGGATTGTTAGGTACCACTGGGTTGGTTCCAACCCATAGCAACCCTTTGAACAACGAAACACTGCATAGTCCTCTGGCATCACAATTGTGCCTGAGCCGCCACTGTGTCAATCCATCTCGTTGAGAGCCTGTCTCTTGCGATGCTCCTCCGAAAATCGGCCAAAGTATGGAAGACAGTCTTGCCCTCCTTACCTCTAAGAAGCACTCTGGCCTTACTTTTAACACAGATGGGTCTGCCCTTTAGCATCCATTGTCCCCTCAGCATTCCCCAGCACCACACTGCAAAGGCGTCCGTTCTTCTGCACACTTCTTCGGTGTCCAACTTTCACATGCATGTGAGGCAGTGGACAGCATTGTGTCTTGTGAGGATTTTGATAGTCTTTACATTGAGTCGGAGGGGATTAGACCTGTACTATTCAGAACTATGATGTGGCCTTTGAGCACTTGAGATGTGGCTCATGTGACTAAAATACTTTCATTAAAATTTTTATAAAACCACATTTTGTTGCATCACGATAGAACACATAACCAGTTAAATGACAAATATTTGGTTCCATTCTAATACTGTATTCGCCAAAATATGTTTTAATATTTTAGGCATAGTCCCCTCCCAGGGGAGGGAGGGCGGAAAACAGAAAAGTGGGTGAAGTGAGACATGAAAAAATAATTTATAAATTATCAAGGGTTCAGAAGGGAGGGAGGTACAAATGAGCTGATACCAAGTGCTCTAGTATAAAGAATGTTTTGAAAATGATGGCATATGAATGTGCTTGACGATGGATGTGTGAATTGTGCTAAGAGCTGTTTGAGCCCTCAATAAAATGATAGTACATATGTGTGTGCATGTATTTTAGGCATAGTGTGTATGTTAGTGATAATGTAAGTCATTGGCAGTGACAGATTATTTTCACCAATATTAAACTATTTTAGTTTAAAAGGACAAAATTTGCATTTCATATCTGTTCTAATGTAAAACCAGAGATGCAGTTAGTATTACAACTGGAATATTAAAGACAAGAACATGTACCACAAATTTCACAAGTGACACTGCAATTTGCAACAGTAAAAGGAAAAACCATTTAAGAACACGAAAGTAGTGTAGTGAACAATATTAGACATTTTCAGCAAATACTGAATTTATGAAATGTTCTCAACAGTCAGGATAGATGGCATTAGTTGTCTGAGATTGGTTAAATGCACAAATGCATTGAATAATTTTTAACGGGATCTGAGCCTGTGGATTTTGGTCTGCTATTAAACATTCTTGATACATGCGTACACATTTTTTTTTTTTTTTTAGATGGCAAGACGGTTAAGATATGTGTTCTGCAGTGGAGATTTTGTTAGAAAATTAGGAAAAGAAAATACCAAAACATCCTCAAACTCTGGAATACAGAACCTTAGTATTGAGGGTTGCAGGTGATTTGCAGTTTGAAAGCTCAGAGGCTGTTTCTTCAGATTAAAAGAGTTGCATGATACAAGACATCATGCTTAGTTATTTTGGGTGCACTGTGTCTTAAAAGACAAATTTATCAAAAGGTGAATTCTTTGCCTGAAAATACAAATAGATGACATTTCTTGAATTTTTTTTTATACTAAGGCATTGCAACCAAAGGAAAAACACTGCTTCCATCACTACAGACAGTGCTCCAGTTATGGTAGGTCAGAAATATAAATTTATTGGAAATTTAAAACGAGGCTGATGCTTCTCAGTGTTTTTGTCCCCTCCATGTGTGATGTACACTGAAAGTAGTGCAGTTTTCTGAAGCTGACTCTTCGTGTCATGAACGCAGTTAACATGATTTAGGATATATGTACAAATGTAGGCATCACCCCAGCTTATGAAATTGTTCAAAGAAATACTTATTATTTTTTAGAAGTAAACAGTTTAATGATCCTTTAATGTTCATTGGTTGAATTGTAGAGGTTTTATAGATTTCTTTTTAATTTAAAATTAACTTGAAACAGTGCTGGCGAAATATTAATAAGCAAAAGCAATGTCATACCTCCTTACTGATCCATATGCATATGAGTGAACAAAAATTGAAGCTTCAAAGAAAGGATACTTATGACCTTGACAGGTAGGCTTAAGATTTACATTGAAGTTGAAAGTAATTCAAGAATCTTTGAGTTTGCACATCTTTGACATTGCTAATGAATTTTCAGTTTGCAAATTGACTTCCGAAACGAAACATTTCGATGTATCTAGAGTTGCTCTTCAAAGTATGCAATATGCCTTTGAATTTATTGTTCATCTTGACACAAACTAGGGAGTTTACTTACAGGTTTGTAGAAAAAAATGAGAAGCCTTTGCTACCAAGTTAAATGAGCTCTTAAGAAATGAATCCGAGTTTTGTTCATGTAGATCAAGCAATCTTTTAATGATTTTTGGAACTTCACTTACTGGAAAACTGATAGTTATTTGAAACAATGTGAAACTTATTTTTCCAACTCTTTTTCAACTATAGAATTTCATAAAATACACAACTGTAAAATCTATTAAAGGAATTAAAAGGCTACTCTAGAAAATATTTCACTTCATGAGAATAGTAGAAACAAGGCCAGAAAAGACAAAAGAAAAAAAGTAAACAGCTTTAAACAAGTAAAGCAATTTGATTTGTGAACAAAGGTAAGGTCAAACAAACCTGCCCCTAAGAAAAGCCCATAGCAAAGGTGATACTCATATTGATCAATGATTTTCTACTTTTGGTCGAGTTGCCTTCTTTGGAATGGGCACAGATACTCTCTTCCAGTTGGTTGGCCAGGTATATGTTCTCTCAAGTTTATTGGTATAGACTCATGAGTGCTCCCAATGCTACATCAACCAACCACTTGAAACATTTAAATCAATATCTTTTCAATTTCTATAGCCTTATTTTCACATGCCTTCAGTGCAGTTTGGACTTTTTCTTTGAATAATATCTTAATCATATGCTATCTCTTAAAATAGATGGGCATCCATTCTTCCTGGTACCATGGCCCTTCCGTCTTCTTTTGATGCTTACAGTGCCTTTTGGTCCTTTGCCTGTAGAGCCCTTCCATATCACAACTCAAGGCTTCATTTTGGCCTCAGTTCTTTCAGTTTGAGATACGTGGAGCATGTTCTTCCTTTTTGGCTTTCAAGCACCAGGTGTTTTCCCCCCTTTCATTATAAAACCTTCCCTTGTCTTCTCACGTGAGCCCTGGTAGCATAGTGGTTACACATTGGTCTGCTAACTGCAAGGTTGGAAACCACCAGCTGTTCTTGGGAGAAAGACAGCTTTCTACTCCCGTAAAGAGCTGCAGTCTTAGAAACTCCCAGAAGTAGTTCCACCCTGTCCTATAGGGTCTCTGGGTTGGCATTGATCCGATGGCAGTGAGGGGTGAAGTGTTGTCTCCTCAAGCTGCCCTTGGAGATTTTGTTTGGCTCTTTTCATCCTTTCTTCCATTTCTTTTAGGTACTATGTGTTTGACTGTTGGCTTGATCAAATTCAAGTTTGCTTTTAAGGGTGATAGAGAAAAATGGTTTCACAGTATTGGTGTTATATGCTTCCCCCCAGAGGTTGATGTTACCTGATTATCTCTCTCTTGTTGGACTACCCGCCATCGATCAACTTTTCTGCATCTACCGTACCAATTCATTGCAATTTGCCAAATGTTGATTAATTTTATTATTCTTTAACTTGTCTTTTATAAAAAGACATTTTCCTTTGTTATGTAATGGGCTCCAACAGTATATTTTCTAGTCAGTAGTATCACAGTTTCTTGACTGGCTTGATAAGTGTCTTATGGTAAGCTCCTAGGTTTTGCTTGCTGCAGCAATAGGGATGCAAAATGGTTTAAAGCAGGAAAAATGGCGTATCTGGTTGAAACATTAAAGACAGCACCAGAACTCCTGTTATTAAGGTGGCTAACATGATTTCCTTTATTAATTTTTCAGGCTAATGAGTTGGTTTATTCATGCCCTCTAAAGGTTTCCAAAAAGTGTATTTTTTTTCCTGTGTCAAGAACTTAAACATTTGAGCTTTCATTCATTTCAAATGTTACTGTTATTAATGTTGAAATTGCCCATCTCTGACCAGCAGGGGCATGTTTCCTGTCTTGTTTGGATGCAACCACAGCAGTCTGGTAGCTTTCTTGCGTCCCAGGATTACAAGACTTATGGGTTCCTACTTCAGGCATGCACTCAGTCATTGCTATAAAGATCCCTGATTCTTTTTCATGGAAAATGACGTAGACCACAATTTAGATGCTAGAATTCTCATTGCTACTGGGTTGGTCAGTTTCTAGGTTCTTTCAGGATATATATATATTTATATATATGATAAAAGGCATTTGTAATTATATTTTCAATTAGCATCTTTGGCTATAAGGTTTTAATTAATCTTAACGATCTTACATCAACATCTCCTTTCAATTTTGCTGAATTTTGGGATTCTTATGACATTTAGCATAACTTATCACAAAATATGTAGAAAATGTCCTAAGTAGCAATGCCATCAGTAGGAAAAGGTAAGGTGGTTTTTGCAGTTCCTCTTGTAGTGGGGGGTGGGGTGGGCTTACCAGTCCCATCGTGTTGATGAAATGGCTGTATTCTCCAGTTCCTCACTGGTGATTAGCTCTGAGGGTGCAGTGGCTTTAAATGAGGCTCCTGACCACAAAACTAGTGGTTGAAACCCACTACCTACTCCATGGGAGAAAGATGAGGGTCCTGCTCTGGAAAAGATTTAATACTCAGAAAACCCAAGGAACAGTTCTAGATCCTACATTTATTTGTCTCCTTTAACTTTTAGACATTGCTTTTATTACTGATCTTTTATTTTAAAATATTTACATGGTTACATAGGCAAATTGGCAAAATATTTAAAGACATTTAACTTTTCTTCCCCTTCCCCATTGGTAACCATTTAAAAACATTTTATTCTTCTGTTTTGTACACACACACACCTTTGTTAAATAAACAGTAATATGCTTTCTTGAAAGGAGCCCTAGTGGTGGAGTTGATAACACACTGGGCTATTAACTGCAAAAGGGGTCTTGGTGGCTCTGTTGGGTAAGCAGTGGACTATTAACCACAAGGCCAACAGATCAAACCTTCACCCGAACTGCAAAAGGGGTCTTGGTGGCTCTGTTGGGTAAGCAGTGGACTATTAACCACAAGGCCAGCAGATCAAACCTCCACCCGTCCCCACCTCCAGCCACTCCATGGGAGTGGAAGAAAGATGAGGTGGTTTGATCCCTGCTTTTGTTAAATATTTAGAGGCTCAGAAAGTAGGGAACACATCTACCTTGCCCTGTGAATCAGAACGGACATGATTGCAGTAGACCTACGTATGGTTTGGCACTTTCTTAAAATGGATCCACTTAAAACAGATTCTGAGAGATTTGGTGTGTATGAATCTTATTGGAGAGGACAGAGCAACGGAACAGCCTTTTAAAGGAACAACTAAGGCACCAGCTTAGAGGTGACACCTTGTGAAAATGGTGGGCCATTCTCCAGGACACTGCACACCCTCGATTAAAAACCATCATGTGGATTGTGGGGTGGGTGATAAAGTAACATTGGACAGGGGAAATCGAACTGTGATGCAATCATGCAGGTATCAGATTATGCCACAGGGGATTCTAATGCAGGAAAGCCATTTTGAGGCACACGACCAACCCGTCAAAACAAATATAGTCAAGGTAGGGGTGAGACCGCAACTCTCAGCAACCTAGGTGATTGGTATCAACTGCCAAGAATCCTAAGTGAGCTGGGAATGAGTGCCAGTATACTACATCATCCACTACAGTCTACCCCTTTACACTACTTTTTTTTCACTTCATGCAATAGGTTCAAGAAACACTTCCAGGATTATGCTTGGTCTCGGAATATACAAGAGGAGGGAAATTAGCTTGTGTAACTAGTCTCGGAGCCTCCGGTAATACTCATAATCTCCCTTTTCTAAGCACTTGACTATTTCCCTCCATTGTGTTTCTGGAGGGATTCCATCCATACATAGAAGGTGGCAGGGCCATTTCAAGATGGGGTCCCTGTTTCATTATCACAAACCCACCGTCAGTTCCAACAAGTTCCTATAGCATGTGATGTTCCCCCAGTAACCCATTTGATCATTTTAGTCTAGTGTAGTAGTTGAGGAGCTGTTAATAGACAACCTGAAAAGAACTGAGAAGAAAATGCTGGGTCATGTCAGGGTCTGTGCCTTGTTGACTTTATCAGAGAAATATGATTAATGTTATTGGTGCTAAAGTACAGACCCAGAGCTTTACACAAAGAATCAGCATTTGAGAGTGTTAGGGGTAATGTGCTGCCAATGAGATTTAAATTTCACTTGGATCCAAGTGGCTTCCTCCTTGTTTTAATTTGCTCGTGAACTCATCAGATGACCAAAAGGTTATTACACCCCTGAGTATGGGAACAGAAAATGCTAGATCCTTGGCTTAGCATAAAACAAATAAAGATGACTTGTTTCTTCTAAGAATATTGATAGTCAAAGTAACATGAAGCAGAGTTAGACTTTATTGCTTGGGTTGTTAATTTACTGATAACCAAGGTTTTAGTAGGAAGTAAAAAGACATCAATGTTGCCACCAGCATTTGGGATGGATCCAGAGATGGCAGTCCGTCAGATACTGGATGGGATTGAAAGGTTATTACCATTGGAATCAATAAATAATGAAAGTGATTGAGGAATAGTTTGTTAAGTGCAATACACAATTATTCCATTAATAGATTTTTATGCTAGAAAAAGGTTTTTTTTAGATGTTATTGCTTATATTTAATTGGACCATGCACTTATGGGATGTTAGAGAAAAATATTTAAATGTTAAAGTATCTGACAAGGAATCAAAGCAATTAAGTTATATAAGTGAAACCACCAGAAACAACAGGGAAAGCAAATACAGTGGTATCTTTTCTGTAGCCCTCAATCTTGCCACATTCCAGGGGAGAAGCCTAAGGGGGAAATATTGCAAAAACTTGCAAATATTAGCAACAAATAACATTGTTTGACCAAGTTTTACCAGTCTTCAAGGATTACATAAATCCTATACAGGTGGGGGAAAAAAAGTTTCATTTTCAAGCCTGGCCTGGTTCTGATATTTTTTCCATTTTCATCTCTTACTGGCTCCATGCTTCCTGCCAAATTTCAGCAATCACATACATACTCACATGCATACACATATATACATACATACATGCACATCACACGCTGTGCACATGCACACACAGTCGCTAGGGCATGATGCACATAGCCCCTGGATGGCAAGCTGTGAGCTGTGGTCCCAGACCAAGACCCCTTTGCCCTTGGCCGGCATTGTTGCTTACAGAAAGGAAAACGGAGGAGGCATAAAAGCAAGGCAGAAAATGTCCATCTCAAAGCTGCTCTTCAACCATATTTATTGAGAAGGGAGGGGAAGGGGTGAACATCCAGGACTGGGTCTTGGGGGTGTCCAGCCCATGCAAGTGGCCAATATCTTGTCTGCAGGCAGAGCTGCTCCGGATGGATCACCCGAAGTATGTCAGGGCTCCCTGGAAAGAAGAAGTCAAGCTTGAGTGTCAGTCACCCTCAAATTGCCACTGGGAGAATTTGGGTGGCACTGGGGAGAGATCACAATGCCGAGCTGGAGTGGCCACTAGGACAGCGTGTCAGGGGCAGCATGCATGCAAGGTTGACTGGCAGCCTCCCCCATGAGCAATGCCTTCCATACCTTACTCCCTCACCCCCCAGAGCCACCCTGCAATCAGATACGATCAGCCCCATCTACAGGGCTCCGTGGAGTCAGATAAGGAACAAGTTCCTCTGGCAGGGCTGTGACAGCTCCGGGAGGAGGCTGAGGGCTTGAGCACTCCCGCTCTGCAGAAGAGGGCAGGGAGGGGTGCCCACACGGAGAAATGTCTAGGGAGCTCTGTTACCATCAAAGTCTTCAGGACGCCCACAGTCTCGGGGCCTAACTCAGCCAAACACCTCGTGGACCCCTCTAGGAGACGATCCACAGGGACCCCCATGCTGGCCAGCATTAACTTTAGCGGGTTGAAGGGTCTCAGAAGGGGGCTGGCCACGGCGTCGACCACAGCTTCGGCAGCAGGGGCAATGGCAGCTACAGGTTTGTCTACAGGCTTGAACACCGTGTCCACAAGGAAAGCGGCAGCTGCAACACACAAGGAGGGAAGAATCACCTACCTGGGCCTCCGTGGCCACGTGATACCTGCCGAAGATGCTCTTGTTGGTGCCTGAAGAAACCTTTATAACTTGCCCAGTGTCACCCTCTCACTGGTGGCTGACCTGCGCTGGGTACAGGGAACACAGAGTACCTGAACCAGCCCCAACTCTGGAACAACGAGTACTAGCCTCCTGAGGGGTGGCCCTGGGGCTAGAGAGCCATGGTCCAGCAAGAAGATGGCTGGAAGGAGGACAGAGACAGTGGCCTTGGAGAGTTGAGGATGAAAAGGCTGACTCGGGGGCCCAGAGGTTTCCCGAGGAGGGAACACAAGCTGGGTGAGGAGGTGGCCCCGGCAGAGTAGAAAGTTTGGGTCGTCAGACTAGAGAGCAGCCTGGGGAGAAACCAGGGTCGGTAAGCAAAAAGGAGACACAGGCTGGGCGGGGCGTGATAGGAGGCCACAGGGTCCAGGCAGGTTGACTTCAGAGGACCTTGATGGCCGCAAAAAGGGGAGAACTTAGCTCCCCCAGAGGGTGGAGATCCCTGAGAGGCAGTTAGCAGGGGGTTACCAGGTTCCTCTTGGCAATAGGGACAGAGCTAGGGAGGCCAGTGTGGGGGCTGGACCCCAGGGTGAAGGGGGAGAATGGAGGTCCATGCCAGGGTCCCAGACACTCACCCGTGTTGCTTAACAGGGCCACACAGAGACCCAGGAAGGCAGCGGCGAGCTTCATGGTCCTGAGAGGCTCCGCAGATACTGCCAGGCTGCAAGGGCAAGCTTCTGGAAGTCTGGCCTGTGGGCTTCCTATACCCTGTCCTCTCCCCCTCCAGGGGCTGGGCCTCACCCCATCTTCCTGATACACACTGTTTGCTCAGCCTGGGCCAACTTCCTGCTCTGGCTGGTGGGCCCTAGGACACTTGTGCCCCCCAGCCTGCCCCATTTTGGGGGGACTTCCTCTTGGCAGGGTGTCCAGGACAGAAGGCCTCGCCCTTCTCCTGAGAGCAGGAGCCAAGGCTGTGGTTTGTCTCCACAAGCCCCCCTCCCTGCTTGGCCTTCGCAGCTGGTGCTTTCTGGTCTGAACCAGCACCTCACAGCAGTGCTGTGGGGTCAGCAGGCTGGGACGTCAGCCAAGGTAGGGGAGATGCATCCACCTCGGGGCTGGGTGATGTGTACAGGACCCAGGGCTGGGAAGCTGCGGTCTGTCTGTGGTCTCTCCCACCCCCTTTCTCCTAATCCTTCCTCTTACTGAGTGGGCTACCAATTCCAGACCACAGAGATGCCTTGTGGGTCCTTCTGATCATGGGTAGCCAGGGTACCTGAGAGAAGAATCTGGGTAGTCCCTAGATGGTCAAGTGTTACTTCTGAACACCCTTCCTTAGCTACCAGCCACTTTCCCATTTTTAAAGTTAGTCTCGATGCTGGTGGATGGACGCATGCGTATTCCAGAGTTACTCTGGAAATTCTCAAGCACCTGCCATATACTGAAATCTGACAGAGAGGAGACAAAACAGAAGTTTTCCTATGAAACTAGCTCTTGAGTTGGGAGGATGTGACTTTTCAAGGAGTACCCTGGATACCTGTGTTGTAGTGGCAAAAAAAAAAAAAAAGCAAAGGCCCCTAATCTCAATGTAATTTATGGAGGACAGTGATTGTCTTAAACACGACAAAGCAAAACAAAGACCAAGACAAGTCATCCAGATGAGGGAGACCATTGGCATGAGGCCACCACGGTGCTCCAAAGGTTCACAGACAGCCGACTGCTTAGATCGGACACGGGAGGACAGGAGAGATGGTCCCAGGAGCACGGCTGGCAGCAGGTCCCTACATCGCAGTTGTAGCTGAGACTACAGGCATGGGACTGGGAGCATGATTGAGTCTTATACATTATGCTAGATAAAAAGCTTACAGGCGTGGTTCAGGGCCCTCTCCCAAAGGCTGTCAGGGTATGATTCATGACTATGCCACCCTGCTACCTCGGCTTTCTCAAGGACCCACACAGACTAGTCCCCTAGCCCCAGGAGAGTGATCGTGTGCCATTCTCTAGAGCACTCTGCTTGAGGGCCAAGGCTCTTCACAGTGCTGGTTAATGGCCAAAAAGAACTCAATGGTGACTGCCTACATGGAGACTAAAAATGGATTTAGGGTTTCTACTGTAAACCAGACCTTTGTGAAAATGTAGCCTTCAGAATTTTAGATTCGAGTACTCCTATTATACCTTACTTTAGGAGCCCTGGTGGTATAATGGTTACGTATTGGGCTGCGATCAGCATAGCCAGCGATTCGAAACCACCAGCAGCTCTATGGTAGAAAGACTGGGCTTTCTGCTCCCAGAAATGGTTCCGGTCTCAGAAACGCACCGGGGGCTCAGCACTGTGAGTCAGCACGGACTCAATGCAGTGAGTGTACCTTAGTTGGTAGACATGCCTTTACTTTTGCAGCCAGGTTTGGGTCTCTGGCTGCTTGTAGCTACTGGGGCCATAGCGTGAGACCCTGCTACAACCAACTCTGCAGGTCTGTGGTAGCTTTGTGTCACCTGGCTGTGTCTTGTTAGTAGTAAGTTTTGTCATTTGTATATTACTATTGATTTCTTTTTTTCCCCCAAACCCATTTTATTAAGATAAACAGTATATCCTATCCGTAAAGGATATACAGATATCATCCCATAGTTCAATCACATCAAGCAGCATTGTACAGTGGCTACCACAATCAGTTTCCAAACAATTTGCTTCTTTCTTGACATCCCTTTTACTGCCCCCTTCCCACCCCACCAAACACACAGCGTACCCCACAGAAGCCCTTACTCTTTAGGTCCATCAATCCTGAGTTTCATTTACTGAAAACAGGAAACCGTGTGACTCAAATTCAACAGGGTGACCCCCAATGACATAACACATCCGAGGTAAGCCCCAATATGAACAAACAAAAAAAAACAACGTTGACAATCAGGCCTAACGTGTATCCGAGGGGAGATGAACTGACAAGGACTTCACCGGTCACGCCAGGTTCATCCTTCTCATCTTCTGTACTCATCTCTCCAAAGCACTCTGTAACCAGTTTCTTCCATCCCTCAGTTAGGGAGAGAGGGGATCACCAGAGGCTTATTTCCTGTGTGCGTCTCACAAATGTATCTGGGCTCCCACTGGCATCCATCGCCTTCTGTACAGCGGAGTCTCACAATTTAGCCTCTGATACGGATCCTCCTTCTACTTCGGAGAATATGGGTTCCAGCGCTGCTGATGGTGTGCTTCTTCCACGTGGACTTAGTTGACATCTCACTTAAATGGCTGCTTGTTTGGAAACAAGGCTTTAAGACCCCAGACGCTATTTTATCTGATTGCTGGGCACCATCTAATTTCTTCACCACATTTTGCTGTAGCCCATTTCTATAAAATCTTCACCATATGTGCTATAGCTGTTTTCCCTTTCTGAGGGTGAGTATCGAGTAAGACCATGATGTAAGAACTAATTGTTCTTAAATTGAAGCTAGGATTTAGTGTGAGCCCCAAACCCATTCCTGGTTCTATGTTTTTTTAAATCTGCCTTTAGCTCCTTTTAGAGACCTCCTTGTTAATTGATGGTAGATCTTCTGTTAATATTGTCATTAATTAGCCCTGGCACTAACTTTTTATAACACTATTGAGACAGGGACACCGGGCCAATGTAGGCTAACTGCATATGGCAGTACTTGAATTATTCACTTGTACAGAATGAATCCTTTGGTGGCTGGATGCTGTTTATACAAACAATGGGAGTTAGTTGTCAAGGAATATTTAAAATAATATTCACTGACAATGTCAGTCACAGGTTTGCTAGAATAATATATATCTTAA